GAATATTAGTGAAGCTGCTAGGGCTTTTAAACGTAATGAAAGAAAACGTGTTCGAAGAGCCCAAGAAAGTATTGAGGAATGTTATGGAAGACGTAGATTGCAGAGATCAAGTGCAATAATAACTGTTCAAGATTTAACAGTAGATGTCGAAGAGTATAATATTGGCTCAATGACGGAACAATGTAGTTATTGTAATGCTTACTTCTGGGTCAAAGAAAGAAATTCTTCTGGCAAATATACGAAATGCCAGACACGATGGAAAAATTAATTTGCCTACACTAATGGACATTCCCGAGTTGCTGCAAAAATTATTAAGTGATAATTCGATTGAGGCACGAAATTATCGAAATTCGCAAGTTTTTAGTCATGAACAACTTTATGTTAGCCTGTCAAGAGTTAAGTCATTTGACAGCCTTTCAGTAATTGCTCCAAGATGCCAAATCTATAATTGTGTTTTCAAAGATATTCTAAATGCTTAGTGTAAATTTTTTAGAGCTTTGCAGAAAAAAAATGTTTTTTGGAAAACATTTAATTGAAACTTCTATTGGCAGTAGGCAAGGGGAACTGCCAAAATCAAAACTCCCCGATTAGAAATGCAGCATGGCGACCTCCACGTGGTATTTCTCGGGTAATGCTAACAGCCATGCATTTTAATTTATTGTATGTAAAACATCCTTATTTTGTTCTAAAATGCTATGTACTTTATCATCATCAGCATTGGCACGACAACCCTTTGTGAGCCTGGGTCTTCCTCAAAGGCTTTTCCCATTCTGCCCTTCTCCCAGCAATTGTTTTCCAGTTCTTTACTTTTAGGATGGCAAAATCCTCATCCCACTCAATCCAATCCAATCCACATCTCTTTTTGGGCCTTCCTCTTGGCCTTTTATTGGAGGGGGTTGCATTAGAGACTCTTAATGCTGTTCGTTCTGGGCTCATTCTCACTACATGTCCGGCCCATCTCATTCTACTTAATTTAATAGATTTAATTATATCATCGCCATCAAAGATCCTATATGTTTCAAAATTATATCTTTTCCTCCAGTTGTCGTTATGTACTTTATCACAAATGTTAATTAATATAGAAATTGATTTCAATAATTCTGATCACCAAAAAATATTTCATTTGGTGATAAAACAAATTTTTGTGTCCATGAAAATGAAAGACTTTTTGAGGGTTATTATCTCACAAGGAATAGTTAGGGTTTAAAGTTTATATTTTTAAATAATACAATTTTTTTCTAAAACTTTCAGAATTTCTAGCATTAACTAATTTATTATACACATTTAGTTGAATTTAGGTGAGTAACTGCAATATTTGATAATTTAATTTGCTAATATGTTTCTCATTTAGCTAATGTTTTGATTATTTCACCATGTACATCTAAATAGCTACTATACTTTTTTAAAAGCAAATAAGAACATTGATAGAATTCTTCTACATAAGTACAATACTATGTCTTTGGTGATAAAATACTATGTCTTTGATGATAATATACCATGTCTTTGTGCTAGAACATTGTGTTCATTGGAGAGCGAGCGCAGCGAGCCATGGTTCACGGCGTGAACCACATAGGATTGCATAGCAATTCTTGGGGGTTGGCGAGCGTTAGCGAGCAGGGGGCGGAGCCTCCTAGTATTAGTATAATAGTAATGAAACATGATATACTCCAAAGAGATGATCTCAAGCATACTTTTTAAAGGGCCAAGATTGACAACCTATATCAGGATTAGGATATTTGAAACACTTAACTTTCTTAAAATTGACTGTAACATATACAGGATATTTCAGATTATTTTCTTTTATAACCGGTTTTATACAGCCAACTCGGTTTCAAACTCCCAATTTTATCATTGTTCATCTCTGCATTCTTGTAACTTTGAACCCTATGCAGAAGACAAGATAACCTGGATTAAGCATTAGGACAAACAATTCTTCGTGGAGGACTTTTTCGTAGAACCACATTTATGTTACAAGTTGAGGAAAGCTCCAAACAAAAGCCTCACACGATTTGCCCAACCACAAAGAAATTCTAACCCATGATTCGTCTTACACTGAGAATATTTTTACGTAAGAGTTGCAGTTGTTGCGAGACGGTTGAAGATTTTATGTCTATATCCACCATCGAATCAGAATTCGTACCCGAATCACCTTATTGGAGTCTAGAGCTCTATCACCTGAACCACTACGGTGTTAGCTTAGAACTACTGATTACAAATATGTTGGTTAGAAACATGTGAAGCAGCAAAAGTCATGTTTAAGTATATATATATAGCACAATAAATAAATAAATTCGGGCCCATCCTTGGTAACTAACAAATGAAACGAGCTGCAGTACTGCAGTAAGAACTCACTATAAAACAAGATCCCTAAACTTGCGCTTTCACCTCAATTTGATCTTCTGTTTTCATATTTTGTAATCTGGTAATCTTGTTACGAAAATATTTTCAATCATTCTTGAAAAATTTCCCGTTCATTTGAATTCGCTATCGGTTTTGAAACTTCGTTTTATGTTTTGTTCTGTTTTTTCTTTACATTTTATTTTCTGCTTTTACATGATATTTTTACTTAATGTCTATTCTATTTTCTTTTCAAAACTTTTTCTGAGGGTTCCTCGCATTTTTGTATTGATCTATTGTTTGCTTAAACATTTCTCATAAAAGAAAAATCAATAATCGAGCCTTCCTAATCCTGACATGGAAACCCGGGTCAGACACGAAATAGAAGTGAGCCCGTCTCTTTTTTAGAGTACGCTAAAAATACCAGTTTTACTTCGGACATTCTAAGCACATTTGACGGTTTGAAACCATTTTGTTAGTAAAACAGTTTTTCTTTGTTTTCCAAAATAATTATAAATGAATTAAAATTGTCAGTTTAAGTGTTTGGCATGCAGTTTTACTTTCGATACGATAAATTTACCTTACCTCAAATCATTTTGCGATTATTTTCAGCGCTTGTATTAACATCTTAAACATTAACATTATTTACTATATTAAACATTCTTCTCAGTGAACTGGATGACTAAATCTATAATTTAAGAATATCAGATCAAAACTAACTTGCCGAATAAATTAATCAGAAATCAGCACGTGTAAAAATTGAGAATAAAAATAAATTCAAATCTCATGTGGAATCCATATATTACAAGGCTAAAGCTGTAATTAAAATCTACTCTTAAACATTATGCTATACTAATGATTCATAATGATCGACAAAATGGTAACACGTGCTGGAAATTAAATTAAGATCGTAGGGTAGTGCAAAACGTGTGGAAAGCTCAATTCTCTAGAGTCAAAAAAGAAATTTAGAATAATCTAAAATCAAACAAATAATTAGAACAGAAAACATCAAGGACAATTGAAACAAAAGTATACTTACAAAAACTTTATTCTCTTGGCTATCTTAGGATCATCATAATTAGTTCAACATACAAATACTTATTAATTAACTGCAGCACAAAATAAATTGCCAGAGTATGTTCCTCCTGGCTATCATATAAATAAATTGCTAATAAAGCAAAAAATTAAAAAGTATAAACTTCGATGTAAAAGGATTACAGAGCATGGTTATATTTTTTAACGAGCACATGCATTAACAGATACTTCCATGCTCGCAAAAATGATACTCTCCGTAGTACACTCCAAAAAATATATAGCTTAGGGGCCGAAACCCCCTAGCCTCATCAAATCCAACAACCAACTCACAAAAATCCTGTTTCAATGCTCGCGATAAAGGTGAAATCAGCCTGNAAATTCATTAATTTTGAAACCCCTCCGTGTTTCAAGGGGGGCGGTATGTTTAATACTACAGTCCACAGATGGCGCTTTGCGCATCCTAATTAATTATTCATTGAGCTTGAGAAAATAAATAGTGTATGTGTATCGATTCCTGTGTGTGGAGTGTTTCGATGTATAATTCATTATTCTAAGTTCATCTCCGATTCCAGTAAATTGTGGCAAATTCTAACTGAATTGTGAGATATCTAAACGTTCCACCTTTAATTTTATAGTTCCAAGTCCATACAACAACCGAGTCACGTAAAAATTTATGAAACATTCTTTTTCCCGCTAATTGCTAAATCAGTGGTAACACGTGCTGGAAATTAAATTAAGATCGTAGGGTAGTGCAAAACGTGTGGAAAGCTCAATTCTCTAGAGTCAAAAAAGAAATTTAGAATAATCTAAAATCAAACAAATAATTAGAACAGAAAACATCAAGGACAATTGAAACAAAAGTATACTTACAAAAAACTTATTCTCTTGGCTATCTTAGGATCATCATAATTAGTTCAACATACAAATACTTATTAATTAACTGCAGCACAAAATAAATTGCCAGAGTATGTTCCTCCTGGCTATCATATAAATAAATTGCTAATAAAGCAAAAAATTAAAAAGTATAAACTTCGATGTAAAAGGATTACAGAGCATGGTTATATTTTTTAACGAGCACATGCATTAACAGATACTTCCATGCTCGCAAAAATGATACTCTCAGTAGTACACTCCAAAAAATATATAGCTTAGGGGCCGAAGCCCCCTAGCTTCATCAAATCCAACAACAAACTCACAAAAATCCTGTTTCAATGCTCGCGGTAAAGGTGAAATCAGCCTGATGTCACAATAAAAGAAAAGTCTTTATATTACGTCTTCGGCTTATTAGCCCGACACCATTTCGCCTCGTCTTTAGCGGAATTCCAAGACTCTCATTCCTTCATCTGATTGACTCCGTTACCGTTTCATTGTCTAATAAGAGATGATAGTAGGCCGAATGATAAGCACTCCTCAGACACTGCATTCGATGTTGTTCTGTTTACAAACTGGAACTAGAATGTCTTTACAATGTATGAGAAAAGATTTGTGAGTTTTTGTGCAGAGGTGCGATATTATTATTCGAAAGTGTTATCACAATAAATGTTAAATTCCTATTTAACAGTTTGCTCTTACTCATCTGCAATTATTTTAGGGTTTTAACATCGTGTAAATAAAAATTCGATTCGATTTTACTTTAAAATTGATACTCTATGAGATTATTACCTTCCCTTGCAATTTTTATTACGCAAATTTTTACAATTGATACATTTTCGTTAAAAAGTTATGAATGGCAACAAGATGGGGCAATGTAGCTTTAAACGTTTTTACACTTAAATATGATTTCAACATGTAAGACTTTCAAGGAAACGATAGATTCAGATTTTTATTCATACTAAAACATTAAGTCCCGCAGTGGACTGATCGTTAAGACACGGTTCCCAGCAGATCACCGAAGTCAAGCATCACTGGCTGCGGTCAGTGTGCGGGTGGGTGATCACTTGGATCAGTCTGCGTAGGGACCGAGGGTGTGTTGTATTGGTCCTCGTTAAACTGTGCTACCGTAAAGTGCTCGACTTCGCGCGCAGATCGTCGGGCTACCGAAGCGGGGGTGCCATCCCCTCCGCAGAGGATCAAAATTGTGATGGCATGTCTTCGGATCATCCTCCGGGATGCTTCCCAGACCGTCGCCAATAGCCCATTGCGCAGCTCTAGTGCGACGTAAATTAACAACAACAACTAAAACATTAAGGTCGCCGTGGCTCAGTGGAAAGTGCGCTTGCCGCTCAATAAGGTGATCCAGTTCCAAAAATCATCGATGACTTGTCGATACGAATTCTGCTTCCAGCTCGTTGTTGACTTAAAATATCCATATTTGGTGAAGAACAGATTTAATTCATTTATTCTATAAAAAAAGCTTGTTCCCATTCTGTAAATATTTGATTTAAGAACAGATTTACTTTGTTACTTTTACAGAAAAAAAACCTGTATTGGTATAGTAAAAAAGCACATTTCAACTACGTATTATCTTCGAAATTTTTAGGGACAAATCTTGCTCTTGTATTGTAAGAAATCGTTATGAATACATATTTACTTCGTAACTTTAAATGAGAAACTTGTTCTTGAGTGTTATAAAAAAATCTGTGAAACTACGGATTTAGTTTAACAGTTTTTGAAAAAACAATATAACTGCAAGCTTGACACCGTAAATTTTAATGTGATATTTTGTAGAAAACCGTGTAGCAAACTATTTGAAACTAATCAACTTACTTTCTGGCAGTTATGTGCAGATCGAAATTCAACTTTCTACGTGCTTGATGATCAAGAAAGGATTTGAAAAGTATAAATGTTTGCGATATACCTGTATTCTAGGAACTGACGTCACTTTTGATAAGATGAATTGATTGAATGTAATCGTCAGGGATATGTTATTATATCTGCAAAATATTTTGAGCTTTTAAAAAACAATTTTAAAGACAGATTTAATTTTTGATAAACAATGTCCTTTTTTATGATAATAGTACACAAAACTGCTTTATAGATATATGAAAGACCTATATTGATTTTTTCTGAACCCAATCAGAATTACAGTAAAAAAGGGCAACATTTTGAAGTGAAAGAATAAAAAAAGTTGTATAGTATTTATGTTACTAATATGATAATTTCTACTAGTCGCTACAACTTAAGCTTTAAAATTTCGCATTTATATATAATCCGATTAAATCAATGAATATTTATAACACAGAGTAATTCAAAATAAGTATATTGATTACAAACAGCTGTAACTATTTAATGAAAAATAATTTATCGATAAGCTTAACAAAGAGTGTGGGTGTAACCTTTTTTTGATGTAAAGAGCAGGCGCAGCGAAGTGAAATTCTGCGCATGCGCAGTTCATTATTTCATTTTTGTAAGACAGATTGGGCTACAAGTAGCGGATTGGGATATTTTAAGAACTCCTGAAATTATTTAAGTTTTAGTTTTGGATTCTTGAATTGCTTTGCAGCGGGGAGTTCAGAATCTCTCCCATATCTGCTTCAAATCATAGACTCGTGAAATCGCAAGGATATACAGGGGAAAATGTACGGTGAGTATGATGGGAAAATAAGCTTTATCTCCAACCATTATAAATCGTTTGTCTTCCGGAAAAAATCACGTGACCTATAATCTAAGTTGAAATTACTAGAAGTAGTTACTAACTAGAGTAGTTAGGTTGTTAATCCCTCGAAGAACAAGTACGGCAGTGAACTGATCGCTAAGACACGGTTCCCGGCCGATCACCGAAGTCAAGCATCACTGGCTGCGGTCAGCATGTGGGTGGGGAACCACTTAGATCAGTCTGTGTAGGGACCGAGGGTGTTCGGTATGGGTCCTCGTTAAACTGTTCTACCGTAAAGTGCTCAACTTCGAGTGCAGGTCGTCGGGCTACCGAAGTATGGGTGCATTCCCTATGCAGAGGATCAAAATTGTTATGGCATGTCTTAGGATCATCCTCAGGGATGTTTCTCAGACCATCGCCAATAGCCCATCGTGCAGCTCTAGTGCGACGTAAACGAACTACAACTACAACAACATTTAATTTATTAAAAAAAAGCTTACCTGCAATACGTTGATAGATCTTCAGTCTGGAGTGAGTCAGCTTTTGAGGAGTAACACTGAAACGGAGTAATTAAATTAAAGAAAAGATAATACCAGAAGAATAAGATAATTATGAATGTGAATTCATGAAGCTTTACGATACTTTGTCAATTATTTTACGTAATTAATTCAGTTTACTATGTTATTCAATCATAGCCCTTCCGATGTATGTTTTAGAATCTTTGTTAAGGCTGTTTTTCGAAGACTCCGTCGTAATATGAACTGAAGCTATTTTTATGGCTGCTGTGAGTTTGCAACTGTTACTCATTACTGCTAGGTCAAGTTTAGCCTGTCTAAAGCCAGCGCTGTTTACGCTTGTTTTGAAAAGGGAGCAAAACTTCAATGTGGAGAAAAGCCGCAATTTTGTGAACATGAAAAGCGTTTGAGATATAATTTTTTAATATTTAAAAACTTACTTCAATACTTCATTACATGGGCTCATAAAATTCTGCAAACTGAGTATAAAGCAGTGATTTTGATAATTTTCATCTAACTGGAAAAATATCGCCAAATTGGCGATTTTTAAAAAAAATTTAATGTCTTATAAAATATAAGTCATTTGTCTGTTCTAAAGCCCAAATAATTCTTCACGGAAAGATTTAATTTAAAATCATTGGGTTGATTCAAGTGAGGCACTTAAACTATGACTTTTTATTTTTCTTGGCGACAGAGCTTCGAAATACAGTGCTAATACAGAAATAAAAAATGTGCACTATAGTAGTCGTGAATTGACGTATAAGTATTTGCACTTTGATAATATCAGACAAAAATATTATTGAAGAAGGCAGTGTTGAAAAACATCGTCCATGGATAACATTTTGAACTATAATACTGTTTTTTTTTTTTTTTTTTTTTTTTTTTTTTTTTTTTTTTTTTTTTTTTCTTTTTTTTTTGCTTCTTATCAATAAAATTTATTGAATCGAATTGGATTGTAAGAAACTCCGTTTGCATTTCGATTTATTTTTATGTGTGCATATTTGTATAAGCGAACTTTCTAATAATTTCTAAATTTTTTCTTACTTTAGATTCTTTTTGTCATACTTTTATTTACACATAATTATTTTATACTATTATATGAAAGATTTTACAATAAACAGGCACAGTAATTATTAAAAAATTAGCAAAATGATTAGAAATTAGTAAAATTATTTTAAAATAAGCTAGCGTGCCTGACTGCGGAGCCACTGGTCGCGGGTTCGAATCCTGCTCAGGGCATCGATGTTTCTTTCTCTCTGTGTTCTATGTCCCACCTCCTTTGTGTGTGATTGTGTGAATCTGACCC